CACCCAGCGGCCTCCTCAGTGAGCGAGTGTCCAATCCATCTCCACTTTCTCCTGCATATTTGTTGGTTGGCGATTGGTTCTTGTTTTGTTTGTTCCCATAGTTTGTTTCTTGTTGGTGATTCTTTCCCGCCCAGCCATCTGATCTTCAGTATAGATCCAGCGGAGACAGTTGTTGATACAGGTCTGGTCTGCAACAGGCTGTTGGAAATATTCTTTGTGACCCGCCCGCCAAGTTTCTGATCCGTTCCGTATAGAAGAACTGACTGATTTGACGTGTTTGTGTTGAAAATCCGACCGGATTTTGTTGTTGATTCTGGCTGAGTGACGAAGATTTCCAGATTGGTTGTTTCAGGTTGATGAGTGTGTTTCTCGCCTTCCCGATTCTCGCTCTACTTGACATCCTCGTCCGTTCCGACTGGCTATGGTTGAGACAATGCTCCCTAGCTAGATAAGTGAATGAAGTAATCTCTTTCAAATCCCTCCCGTTGATGGTGATAGTCACTGGATTTTTCTGATGTTGCTGTTGTTGGCTGGTTATTTTCATAATTTCCGTCTTGTCTATATTCATCTGGAGTCCTGTCTTCGCCGGCTACTTCTTCGACCAGTTTGTCAGTTTTAGCTTGGAGGTCTTCGATTTTGTAGCTGAGTTATTACTTTCTTTTAATCAATTTCTAGCCAACTCTTAACATATTTTTTCTATTATTACACCAGTAATAATCATTTTAGACTTAAAAGTTTTCAAAACAAAAACAATCTTAACACCGGTAAAAGTACACTTCAATAACAAAAAAGACACAGTTTGTATTCATCTCACTTGAAATTATTGTAATTAAATTACTTAGCTGTAACTTGATTGAGTAGGGAAAGTAAAGTTGATTAATTAACTTGACAAAACGATGATGATGATGATGCTTGAGTGGACTAATTTTCTGAAGCTATGCAATCGCGTTTATACATTATAGAGTAAAAAATTATCTTAGCAGTAAGAGGAATATTTCCAAAGATGTGTCACTAGAAGTGTAAAATTTTAGATGACAAGTTACGTAATATAGCAAGCCTTAATTGGGTAGAAATTAAAACAAAACTAAATAAGTAAACTGGAGAATGACTCTGTATAACTGAAGGGATTGAGTGGAAGCCAAATAAAATTTCAAGGACAGTTAACTACATTGATAATAGAAGGGGTATAAATCCTACACAGGGTTAGGAAAGAAAATAATACAATAAAGAAACAAAAAGATATTACATTCCCAGTGTTAAGATAGATCAGAACCACTGTGGATTTAATGATTGAACAGACTTCTTTTGTATGCAGAAATCAGGATTTAATATGTGAATTGCCATTGCTTCTGTTGTTTGTAAAAGTTTGATCCGTACTCTCTTAGCGAAATTCCCACGTATTCTGTAGATGACCTTGAAGTACCTTGGTGGGTTAGCTTGGTGTCTACATTAGATTTCGCTCCCGCCAAATGCAAGATGATGTTACAGGACTGGACTACATCGACGCCTAGATTAGAAATAGGAAGTGAAGTGGTTGGTAGAGCACGTTGACCGCTTCACTTATTTGGGAGGTACCATCAGCCAGTGCTAACGGGTTGATCTCTGATGAAATCTTAACACGGATACACAGGGCTCGTTTCGCATTTACCAGTTTACGCCGGAATTGAATTAGAGGTGATATCCGGCTGGCTATCGACCAAAGGGCGTGTGTACTGCTCATCAGTCCGCTCCGTCCTCCTTTATGGCCAGCTGTAAGACGTGGCCATTGAGAGTGGAAGACATGAAAAGATTAGCTGTCTTTGATCATAGGTACTTGTGTTCTATTTCCCGTGTGATGTGGTATAACAAGATGAGCAATATTGAGGTTAGGCATCGCTCAAGTGCTAGGTAAGGAGGGGAAATCAATCGACGAGGCTGTGAAGCTACATCGACTGAGATGGTTAGGACATGTGTTATGTATGCCTGGTCATCGCCTACCTCGACGGGCAATGTTAGCTGGCATAGGATTGGTCAGACTGGAAAAGAGCTAGCGGCGGTCAAACCAAAATATGACACTAGTCAATGAAATATACAACATTTAGTTTAAGCCACGTAGGAAGATGTAGACTTCTTGGCTGGCTGGGGTCCTCGGGACAGCAAAAACCAACAGTTAGAGACAATCGGTGATATGGCTCAAAATCGTTGTCAATGGCTGGCGCAGATACATCCACCCTTACGACTTATGATTTCCAATGAAACTATATTGTTCTCCGTTATTGCTATTTCTTTGCCTCAAACCTCTGTTTACTGTCTTTATCATACATTTCTTCTACTTTCTTCTGTTGCTTTGTGTGCTACATGGAGGGAGTGTGGCGACTTGAACTTCCGCACATCTGTGCAAAGTTCTATGTTGAAAACAGACAGACAGACAGTCTACATTAGATCAGCTTATCCAGGATAGAGCTATGAGGGATCTTATTTCTGCTTTATAAAACCATGAATGTAAGTTTCCGATGATACGTTTTGATAGAAACAGGAAACGCTAGGTTCAGACGACATACCTATCTCCACACGAGCAAGTGATACACACACTTGGTGAGGCTAGCTAAAAGTGGTAGCTTATCTTTCGCATTCATGAGAATAATTGGTTTTGTAGAGAAAGTTAATCGAAGTTTAGACGCGACAAAGGTTTTCTTCAATGAGCTGGACAGGCAGTTGTCCAGTACTTCTGCCGATGAATCTCTATTAAGAGTAACTCGTTCATTAAACGTCTTTTCTTTTACATGAATCAATGGGAATTTTTAACTTGGCCTAATTTTAGCAACATTCTAGCTTAAATACAGCTAAAAATACGAAACTTGATAAGTCATAGTATTATCTGAATTCTTAAAACAAGAAATCGGCTGTCTTCTGACTGCTTTAAGTTCCATACAAAAAGAACGATTGCTAGAAAAACATTAGTTACTAATCAAAGATGTATTCTATGAAGTTTCCATTTACTCATTAAAGGTAGGTGCTAAAGGAAGAGATTTCTATCCGTTAAATTAAGTAGAAAACCATCCCTACTACTATTCAACATGACCTCTAAAACAGAAATATACTGGTACACTGTTGATATTAGATGTTTCGACGCAATCGGCAGGATGCCTTCAATCAAATAAAGGAATAGACACATTACACGAGTTACTAACTTGTGTCCAACCAAAGCACTACTAGACTACAACTAATCCACTGAAGTAAACATCATTGGTGAAACAGAATCATGACGTCACTAATTGATAGAATCCAGTTGAAAATAGTATATCATCCTTTCTCACGAATTGTGTGATTTATCTTATACTGGAGTTACTATTTTGATCTATCATTGCTCACGCGTATTGTTATTTAATGTGTAATCAATTCATCATCTTTTGTCTTACCGTTGGTCTTTGTCGGATCGCCAACCAATGAGAATAGTAATTGTCAGCCAATAAGAACAATCCATTCCCACGGTTGCAAGCCGACTTTATGTTGTGGTAACGAAATGTATCTTGATAAAAAAAAATATACATACAATATCTTACAGTCACAGACCAGCCTTTGTCTTTTTTGATATTTGCGTGGCTCAGTAACTCGGATGGTACAACCGACAAATAGACGAATTAGCGTACCAGTCGAGTTTATTACCGCCATAACAACTAGCAGGGGCAGATATAACAACTGGTGATTAGTTTATATTCACTTCAGTGCAATTATAACACTTATAACTGTGAAATGAATAATAGTGTCTTCTATGTGACTAATGGTTCCCGTCTACAGTCAGTCAGTCAGTCGGTCAGCAGAAGTACAGAATTTTCCTTACAATCAAGCAAGAATTGAAAGTAAAAGAGGAAACACGTATTTCATGACATGTGTGTCTAAGTTTATATGACGTAGCTACAAAATGTAGGAAAGAAGTGACGAGTGCGGTATATTACGCGCAAATACGAAGTAGAATGTTGATGAATATATCAAAAGGGTCTAAATTTCCGCAATATTTGGCATAGTATTTAATAATACGAAGACAGACATACGTTGGATTGACAAAAGACTTTATAAGATCTGGACTTCGCCGATAATCTATGTGTAACAGTACACAGAAGCTCGAAGATCTCCAGACAAAAATCAATATTTCGACAGGATTTCAATTGAATGTAGAGAAGACAGATGTGATGAAGATATCTAACAACCAACAACAAAAACAAGCAGTAATCACTATCAAAACTGGAGAAATTCGAAGGAAGTCACTTCTCCCATTTATCTAGGCGGCATCTTTTTAACTACAGGTGACAGTGTATGGACGAGGATGTCAAAGCCAACGAACCAGGATAGAAAAAGCAAGACACACCTTCCATTCAATTGAAATCAGTTTGTAAATCTTCTGCACTAAGCATTATCAACCAGATTCGGATCCCTAACACTAATATCAAAACACCTCTTCCATAAGGTTCAGAGACTTGGCGAGTGCGTCACGATAAGCATTTTAAAGGAAGCTACTGCAGACTTCCATGAAAAAAACTGTCCCAGACACCCTAGTTTTAGAGATTAGATGTTCGGTTTGAAAGGATAGGCAACAACGAACACTTAAAACGAATTAAAAACCCTCTTGACCAACAAATAGTCAAAATGAAGATAGACTAGACACATGCTGAGGGGACCATGGAATGGAAATTGAATTGGAAACGATGAGCAAGGCGTATATCCAAGATTGTTGATATATGCAGGAGATTGCGTGAAGAGTATCGGTGAAAGTTTATGGGTAAACATGGAACTAACTGAAAAGGACCTCAGAGAATAGGGTGATGCTGAAGGTCTATGTTCCACACAAAACCCAAAGGGAATAATAATAATTATCATTATTAGAAAAAGAAGAATTCAGAAGAACCACAGTGAACTTGAGATATCATATTGATATATATATATATATATCGATTTCATTTTCCTTAGGCGAATAACACATACACTGGAAGACATAATATATATTCAGATATAGATCCACCTACCTGAATAGTACCATTTGAATGTCCAGTAAATATATAACGTCTTGGATGTGCACCAACTCGATTAAATCCATCATGTTTATGTACAGTAAATGAACTAATGGTACTTCTATCCACTGAATGAATAACACATATTCTAAAATATTATCAATAGTGAAAGCAAATAAGGCAAAGAATGTGATCAGTATTCATACAAACATCAAATGAAGACTAATATGACAAAAGCAATATCCCTTTAGATATGATTTATTCAGTCATGGACCACTGTCATGTACATGCACTTTTGATTGGACTTTCTGACTACTTTGTAACTAATTGAAAACTAAATACTTAAACAGTTTCTTCATCTTTATCAAGAGTAAAATTCACAGTATGAAATGTGCTCATTTTATTTTGAAGCTTCTCATCAAGACAGTAGTAGCAAAATAAGAAAATTATAAAAAAAATTCTATTCGCAGGTGTTTAATAATAATAGTAATAGCTTTATTCTGAACAATGTTTATATAATGTAAAGCATTTTCAGCGTAGTTTATCGCATGATATTTTCTCTTCGTCCAGAATCTTCAAATAAAAGATTAACTGACCGATAGTAGATCCTGTGACACAGTTCTACCTCAACTGAAGCGCAAACAAATTCATTATCATATACCTTCTTAGCCTCTCTCGAGAGAGAGAGAGATACATGAGATTTTGTTAAATGTCAGTTATAAAAAGGTTCAGAGGTATACTTTGTAAACCAAGGACACCACTCAGGAACTGTCATCTCGTGTACTGGGATAGGCTGCCATCGAGGATAATGCTTCTTCTCATGTTAAGTAGAAACTTGCGAATCAGAAGTTTGTAAATATTTTAAATACCCACCATAGTGAACAATAAATACTATTAGAGGTCACACTTTAATAGATTTAGACAAGGTGAATAAGAAAAAATTTATGCAGTATACTGATGAAGGTTTTTGGTAGTCCATGTTTTAAGCAGGCTGTCTATGTGTAGTTTGAGGGAGAAACCTTGCGCACTGTGGTAGAGCATAATTCCATTATGGATGTAATTTTATTTTGGTAAATCATACAGTGTTGTACAGTAATATTTACTGATGACGTTTCGAGCACAAATTATTGGTCATAATTTGATATGATTATGAGCAATAACAAATGATAAACGAATTACGTTGTTCAGCGTAGAGTCTCTTTTCGGTGGCGAATTCATTTTCTTAGCTGTAGAATCGCAAATATATGTACAGGTTATTTTGCATGAAAGTGTACATTGAGTTTGTCAAACAAAATTACAATTGGTTAAGGTTATTTTAACTAAACAGGTGAAGATTGGTAATACAAGTCAAGAAAATTAGGTGTTAATGAAATCAGGGTAGTAACAAAGGTGATGAGTTGTTACAAACAGTTCTTAAAAAGAAGTTATATAATAATAATATGAATACTTTGATGATTGAGTTTTACTCAGGATACACATAGGAACAAAGTAGCGAATGCAAAATTACGTAAGAATTTCAAATGAATACAAAAATTATTAGCAATTAAAGAAACAGGCAAAGAAAGGAAATTAAGTCATCAAAATCAACAAAGTTGTTACCATGACAATAGAAGTGGTTGATTAATTCTCTTTGTATGCACAGCTCCAGGTTTTCTATGTGAACGGCCAGAGCATCAGCGATACAAAGAAGACGAAACCGTATGGCCTTTGGTAGGTTATTCGTGACTCTGTAGATTACTTTGAAGCAAGAGGCGTTTGTTGAAATGAAATTCTTGTGGATTTCATTGACTGGTGCCATGTTTTGATTTGACCGCGCTAGCTATTTTCCAGCCTGACCCTATATCCTAACATTGCTCGTCGAGGGAGGCGATGACTTGGCATACGTAACACTATCCTAACCATCTCAGTCTTTGTAACTTCAAGACTTCGTCGATTGATTTCCCTCCTTACCTAGTACTCGACCCCTACCTCATATTGCTCACCTTGTTATAATCACACGGGAAGTAGAACACAAGTACCTATGATCAAAGACAGAAATCTTTCATGTCTTCCACTCTCAATGGCACGTCTCACAGCCCATAAAGGAGGACGGAGCGGACTGATGAGCAGTACACACGCCCTTTGGTCGATAGCCGGATATCACGTCTAATCCAGTTCCGGCGTAAACTGGCGATTCGAAACTAGCCCCTGTATCCGTACTCAGCTGAGATTTCGTCAGAGATCAACCCGTTAGCACTGGCTGGTGGTACTTCCTAAATAAGTGAAGCGGTCAACGTGCTCTACCACTTCACTTCTATTTTTAAACTAGGCGTCGATGTAGTCCAGTCCTGTAACATCATCTTGCATTTGGCGGGAGCGAATCGCATGCCAAACATTCGAAGATTGCGGCTCAAGGTGTTTAGAAGACTCTGCATTTTGTCAGAGTCTTCACCTAGAAGGACTATATCGTCTGCAATGATCAGTGTTAACCAAATGTTCAATTATCGCACTCCTTATTTTGCTTGATAAACTTAATGTGCATATACATACAAAGTAACACATATATATGTGTGATTGTACAGCTAAGAAAATGAATTCGCCGCCGAAAAGAGACTCTTCGCTGAACTACGTGTTTTGTTTTCATGAATGCCTGAATGGGGATGATCCATGAATAACAAACAAATGACACAATAAGAAAGTGGTTATTTACCGTAAATTTCGAAGAATATTCGAGAAGTTTTGTCGGGTTAACTTGACAACTAAAACAAAACACTACCGGATTAGCAGCTTACGTTCCACCTCAACAGACGCCTACTCCTTCAAAGTGATCTACAAAGTGAAAAATAACCTACCAAAAGGGGCAGTACAGTTTTGTCTCCATTGTATTGCTGAAGCCTTAGCCATTCAATTAGAAAAGCCGGAGTTATTTATGAAAAAGAAAATTATTCAACCACCTCAACTATCATAGTAATAACCATATCGATTTATACGATCTTAACTTTCGTTTTTCCTTTTCTTTCCATATTTTCCTTCGATTCTATATGCATCGTGATTACAACTCACTCATTAGATTGTGTTATTCATCATATCACTTAACTCTAGTACACTTTTTCAACCTCATTTAAGCATTGACTAATATTAACAAGTTGACAGAAGAAGCATCCAGAAGATAGGACTTCAAGTAAGCATAGAGAAAACAGAGGTGATGAAGATTCCTAGCCAACACCAACAGCAACAACAACAACAGACAACAATCAGCCAGTAAAAATGCGAGGAACCTGAAGGAAGCAACCTCCTTCACCTACCTGTGAAGCATCGTTTCAACTATAGGTGGTGGAACTGACGTGGATATCAAAGCAGCGAGGGTCAGAAAAGCAAGAGAAGCCTTCATTACTCTTAAGTCTGTGTGGAGGTCAACAGCCCTAATCAGCATCAAAACTAACATCCGGATTTTCAACTCCAATGTGAGTGCAGTCAGTGCTACTCACTATACGGATCAGAGACTTGGCTAGAGAATCATAAAGAGCATCTCAAACAAACTACAGACCTTCATCCACAGTTGTCTCCCTCAACACTCAGGATCAGATGGCCAGCCAGAAAAGATCAGCAACAAAGATCTCTGGCAGTGAGCGAACCAACCAACCAGGAACCGATTGTGAAACAAATAGACAGGAAGAAATGGAGATGGATTGATTGGCCATACTCTGAGATTACCAACCATCAAGTGACATTACTAGACACGTCATCGCTCGAGTGGAACCCGAAAGGGAGGCGGCGAGTCGGTCGTCAGTGCAAGGGTGACTTGGAGGAGGTCATGTGAAGAGGAGATGAAAGCATGTGAGCAGACTTGGAGCGGGGTGAAAAAGTTGGCAGAAAACCGAAGGCAATAGAGATTCGCAGCTGAAGCCCTATGTTCCTCTATGAATTAAAGGATATAATAATAATAATAATATTAACATCTATGCTTACGGTAACTCATCACTTTTGTTACTACCCCTCTTTCATGAAAGAAGTTCTATATAAATGCGACTGAACAGCTAGAGAAAATGAATTCGCCGAGAAGAGCCTCTTCGCTGAACTACTTATCTTGTTTCTATTATTAGAGACCCCGTGTCCCACTTTAATTTTTTTTCCTTCACGTCCCCAGTGGAACATAGGGCTTCAAGCTAGTGGCTTGAAGTTTCTGTAGCAGAGGTTGCCAGCCTTATGCTCAACCTTTCCTCTTTACCAGCATTATTTCTGGCTTAGCGAGGTAAAGGAGTGCACCTGTGGCCGGGGATCGAACCCCGGACCATGTGCATGGTCGACGAGCGCCCTAACCGCTATAACATCAAAGCTTTGGTAGTAAGCAATAAATAATAATAGCAATAATAATAGTAACGATACTAATCAAAACGTAATGTCTACTAGCTTAAAAAAAGGTGTAAGGAGCTTCAAAGTAACAGACAAACTACTCACCACTTGAATCCACAGGAACTATTAACAAAATATCTTGAAAAGTTAATTATTCAAATTAATAAAGTTAAAAGTCTATGAAATAGAACTATCTATTAGTTACAAAATGAATTCAAGCCTACACAGACAAAATAAAGTTAATAGATAAAACTCAAAGTTTATTTACTTCAAAAATTACGTATGATATTATCAAGTCTTTTTTTAGAAGGCAAACTCTATGTCACATGAAAAATATAACTCTGTGATAGTAACTAATTAAATTCCAAAGATAATTAGTTATATTTAGTAAATAATCTTAAATTCAATCAGTTGTATAATTTAATACCATAATCCATATTATATTCCGTTTTCATGAGATATAGTGATTCTGAAAGCTGGAAAAGCAGCTGGACCAGATGGAATACCCCTGAAGCACTGAAAGCGGACCCAGAGACTACAGCAGACATGCTGACTCACTCCATTATTGCAAAAGGTTTGGAAGGAGGGGAAGGTGCCTACTGACTGGAGGAAAGGTTACCTCGTGAAACTACCAAAGAAGGGCGACTTAGGACTCACTCTGCAAGAACTGGCGAGGAATCATGCTCCTGTCGACGCCAAGTAAACTCCTGAGTCGCATCATCCTGGAGAGATTAAAGGACGCACTGGAGACAGATCTCCGACCAGAACAAGCTGGATTCAGGAAAGGCAAATCATGTACTGACCAAATTGCAACTCTACGCATCATCATCACAGAACAAAGCATGGAATGGCAATCGAACTTCTACCTCAACTTTAAAGACTTCGAGAAGGCCTCCGACAGCGTTGACCGTGATGCAATTTGGAAACTACTCGAGTACTACGGCGTACAGTGCCCAAATATTCATCAACCTTATTCAACAGCTGTACGACAACGGCACATGTCAAGTGATCCACAATGGAAAACTCAGCGAGGCGTTTGGATTAAACACAGGAGTCAGACAAGGGTGCTTATTACCAGCCACGATGATATTCCTTATTGTGGTGGACTGGATTATGCGTCAGACAGTGAGTGGGAAACGAGAAGATAGGGATATCCGGGACAGACAGACGTGAAAAACCTAGAAGACCTGAATTTCGCGCGTGTATGATATATGTTTGATGTGACACAAAACTGAAGACTTACGGGTAGGAGATAACCGACAAAATGGTCAAAGAAGCAGCCGGCGAAGACAGGACTCCAGATGAATATAGACAAGACGGAGATTATGAAAATAACCAGCCAACAACAACATCAGAAACATCCAGCGATGATTACCATCAACGGTAGGGATTTGAAAGAGATTACTTCGTTCACTTATCTAGCAGGGAGCATTGTCTCAACTACAGCCAGTCGGAACGGACGAGGATATCAAGTAGAGCGAGAATCGGGAAGGCAGGCGGGAAACACATTTATCAATCTGAAACAACCAATCTGGAAATCTTCGTCACTCAGCCAGAATCAACAACGAAATTCGGTCCGATTTTCAATACAAACACGTCAAGTCAGTCAGTTCTTCTGTACGGAACGGATCAGAAACTTGGCGGGCGGGCGTGTCACAAAGAATATTTCCAACAGCCTGTTGCAGACCAGACGTTTATCAACAACTATCTTCGCTGTATACTGAAGATCAGATGGTCTGGCCAGAAAGAATTACCAACAAGAAACTATGACTGGGAACAAACAAACCAAGAACCAATCGCCCAACAAATATGCAGTTGGAGAAAGTGGAGATGGATTGGACATCGCTCGCTGAGTAGGTCACTGGGTGACATCGCGCGCGTGTCAGGCCATTGTTCGAGTGGAACCAGGCCGAAAAGGAAGAAGTGAGTGGGAAGTCGGTGCAAAGGTGATATGGAGGAGATGGTGTGAAGAGAGAGGAGTTGAAACAGTATGGACTAACATGGATTCAGGTGAAAAGTACAGCAGAAGGAAGACAGAAGTGGTAAATGGAGACGCGCAGTTGAAGCCCTATGTTCCACTAGGAACCCAAAGGAACAATAATAATCTCATTCATCAACAGGGTTAGAACCAAGCACTTTGTGGTTAGACGAAAACCACGTAAGAACCATTCAGCCACTGGGACCCAACTTAATGGCCAGTCCATGAATTCCAACTTCTACTAATTCATGATTTTAGCGCGACTCACACAAGCCAATGTCATCTGCAGCGAATATTTCTCCTCACTCCCAATCGGATGGAGCCCACTGGTCACAACTTCTCATGAGAACGGCAGGAAACTTCACCTTGTAGTCAGTCACTAGAGAACATCAGATGGTCATGCTAAGATCAAGAATTCGTTGAAGTTAGAACTTATGGGCTGGTCATTGAATCGGGTCCTACTGGCTGAATGGTCTACGAGCTTGACTTGTAATCAGAAAATCATGGGGTTTGAAACACACCCAAATGGCTGATTCTCAACACATTTGAAACAGAAAGAACACCAGTGTTGTATGACAGCACAGACTACGGGATGGCTTCTTGAAGTCGGTAAAACATGGCTTATTTGATGATATTAGACGGTTGGAGATAATCGGCAGGAAGCCTTGGACCTAGATTTCGTGCTAGTTGGCGATCACCAGTCAGCAAGGTGTATCTGCAACCTTGAACGAACTCATGTCCCTTCTGAGATTCAAACCGGCGTCACCCAGTATTGCAGTCAGAGACGTTACCACTGAGCTATTCGGGCTCGTGATTAACCTCCTGTAGGACTGTAGTGGATATTTAGGTCCTAGGCTTCCTGCCGATTACCTCCAACCATCTAATATCAAATGAATATGCACCGTGATGGCGAGCTACCTAGAATGGTGGCCACATTACAACCAAACTGATAGAATTCAGTCTGCACCATAGATAGGAGGACTAGAAACGTCACACTAGTTACTAGTGTCAAATCAAAATATGGCTTATTTAGAATAGTTTTTAGTATTGTCTCTGTATAAAGACGATACTACCAGGCTACGGACCGCCTTAGGCTAAATAGGGAGGTAAAATTTTCAGGGCTGACTTTCTTTTACTCCAAACTCTTCCAAGCAGAAGAGTAGCATAACTAGCTTGATGGTCGCCTGTAAGAAACACCTGACTGCTGTCATACCCCGTATTAGGCAACAGTACAGCTACACCCTCACACTGCAAACAGTCTAAGAGAAACATGGCAACCACCTTCAGTTTCACAACTAGCCAAACTTGCAGGAACATTCTTTCCAGTCACTAGGGCTAATTCATTGGTCATTACGGTGTGTGACTGCACTTTAAGGTAGCAGCTATCGATCGGTAGATGAAGTTTACCACAATGTAATAAAACTGAGTGATTACCTAAAGCATAACTGTTACGAAAACATATGTTCATCAAAGTAACATGCTAATATCTTTGATGATTGGAATCGATAAATCTGTGTTAATCACATGTCAAATAAACGGTTGGCGACATCTGATACTCCACTAGAAAAAAAAACCTAAAAACAGACTTCTATAAGTGTGAAAACGCATGCGTCAATCAAATTTTTCTAGAAATGAAAAAATACACCAACTGTTTTCAATGAAATCGCGGAAAACACTCATCAGAGAGAGAGAGAAGGCGCAAGAGTTGTTTACAACGTGAACATACATCTATCAAAAGCAGTGTGTTCCCAAGTTATTTGTACTATAAAATCCGTCGATTTATGCATAGAGAAGCTGGAGTTATGTGTTTAAAAGAAGCCAGTTCAACCTCTGCATTTACTATGGATCTAGTTCTCTTTAGTTTCGTAGTTATCGTTTTTTTTGGTCCATCCGCTTCATTTGTTTTTGATTTTAGTTATGCAGAAACTATTATTCCAATTTGATTCCACGCCTATTCCGTTCACATCTGTCTTCATTAAAAACTACTTCACATATTACGCAACTGTTTTCTAATCGTATGTAATTGTGTTTCTATGCAGTTATACAGCTATTGATGATTAAACGACCAAAAAGATTTCTTTATTGAGGTTTTCTCTAATGTTTTTAATAATAATGCCGATTGCCTCCGACCATCTAAAACCAACACTTCACAGTGCAGCGTGATGCCGAACCATCTAGCCGGTGACCACATTGTAAACTTAACTGAGAGAATTCAATCTAGTTTCTGACAAGTGTTCAATCAAAAATATCCAATACAGTCCTACAGGAAGTCAATCGCGAGACTGAATCCCTCCGTTTCTCTGACTGTAGCACCCCCACTGGGTGACGAGGGTTCGAATCTCAGAAAGGACATGAGTAACTTCAAAATACACCCTGCTAACTGTTTAGTGCCAACCAGTATGGGACCTAGGTCCACAAGGCTTCGTGTGACCGATTATCTTCAACCATCTAATACCAATAATGCCCAACTGTTAGACAATATGTGATAAAACAAGAAAATCCCGCTAAAAAATCAATTGCTTACCGTTTACCAGTTGACGCTAAGCGTACAAATAACTGATTTGCTTGTGGTGTTAACTTCTGTATAAATACTAAGATATCTTCTCTTCCACCATATGGGCCTGGATTATTCGCATATTCATGTACATCAATAATTGGACGAATAATGTGCTTATTTGCTTTAGTATTGTCAGTCGCAGTAGTAACAGAATTGCTATTAGCTTTAGATTGATTCACTTTTGGTCTTCTGATCACTGATGAGGTGCTTTGTTGATTTCTATATGCATCTATTTCATCACCTGACTGTGCAACACTCTGTTGTTGGTGTTGTAAACTTCGACTAGCTGATGATGAACGACTTTTCATTCTACTGGTACTATTATTATTACTTTTATTTCTATGATTGTTTTCATGATAGCTAGTTGTAGCAATACAATCAGTTGTAAAATTATTTCCATTATCTCCTTGATTTATCTCACTTTGACTAACTGAATGTGAATCAGATGGATCTGAATCGAATTGAGCATTTAACCTATTTATAACAAAGAATTAAGAGGATTAAAAAAGACATAATGTGTTTTTATGCTACTTATAAGTAAGTAAGTAAGTAAGTCAATTTGAACAAAATACGAAATCATACCTCACTAGGCAATGACTTTAGGTTGAGATTTTTCTAAAGCTACAGTGAGAAGTTTTAAAGGATCTATCCACTGACTAGAGTGTTAGAACAATTAGTCGCTGATAAAATTAGGCAGCAAAGGTGATATGTAGAAAGCTAGCAAACACCATAAGTCATCATTAAGTGGAATTTCAATAGTGCCTGGTGCCCTCATGTCGATCTGTTGTGAGACTGCAAAGGAATATTTATATTTGCGCATCTGTTATGCATGCTAAGCTATTGTCTTCGTCACAGAGGAATGTTAGCTGACATAAGCCACAGTTGGTAAAAGTAGGTCAGGAGTAATCAAATCATAATACGATACCCATTCATGGATTCTTTGTTAGTTTGAGCCAGTCACGTTGGAGTCCTCGATATACTGATAATCAAAAACTAAAGATTGTTAGTTATACAGCTCAAAATCCTACTCAATGAAGCAGATGTTTTCTGTATGTCTGTCGGATCGTGAGGGCGATTGTTTATTTACTTTATTTTATTTTCGTCATTAAGGATGGCTAACATTTTTGTTTTATAATCATTTCTCTCCATTACAACTACACCAGATCCTTTGTCAGGTTTCAGAATAACTATATCATATCTATTACGTAATTCCTTTAGGGCTTTAAAATCGGTTGATGTTAAAATGCTTCTCTGTTTTCGACTTGAATTACGGAATTGGTGTGCAACATCAACAAATTTAACTTTCAACCAACTTTGGACATCTGTCGAGGAAGGAGTTAGAGAACTCAACGGATCATACAAATTTTCAAACTGAGAATCAATTGCTAAGTCCGAAATATTGTTTAATGGGATAGAAAAATTAAAACCAAGTGATAACACCTCCTTTTCATGTAATAAAAGTTCAACCGATGACAGATTTGTCACATACTTATCAGGACAGTCTATAGCTAAACATCTAATAGAGATGAACCATAAGATTGATGTTAACTCAGCCTTTAAGGTCATCTATAAAAACGGTCAAGGGCGTTTACTGAAATACGCTGAGGCTATAGCTATTCACAGACTTAAGCCCCCTTGTGTGTTCGAAAACAGTTTGTCATTACTCTTAACCTACCTTGGTAATACTTAACTGATTGGATTACCAAACGTTTCTGTTAATTATTCTTAATTCCGTTTTCTCTCACTTTGTTTAATTTAACCTTTCTACATATATTGACTTGACAAGTAAATGTGATCAGAGTTTTCGAAATGTATAGCGCTAATACATCACATTTTTCAGATACTCTCCGTCTTCTAATAACGCTATCAAAATTTATCAGAGGGACCAATTGTTGTAAATCGGAAATGTCTACCTATACAACAGGAAGGCGTGTTTCTCAAACTAAACGTGTTTCAGTGGAATCCTGTTTGAGGCTCTTCTACTGGAAGCACCTGCATTCCCCCAGTGAAAGATGGTGTTCCCACTGAGACTTGGACCCAGTCGCGTAAACATTGTCCACTGTATCACTTCCACGACGACAGCCACCTGTTGTGCAACGGGTGTCAGTTATTATTTAATTCAATTTGCACTTTCCCGTTGATTGATTAGATAGAATCGTTTGGCCTCTCGTAGCCCAAGTGGTCTAGTGGATAACGCTTTGGGGGTGTGAAACGATGTGTGCTGGATTGGAGCCTCAGTGGGAACATCATTGAATGAAGGGAGTGCAGGTACATCGAATGATGAGTCCTGAATAGGACGAAATGTGCATCTTGAATTTCACTACCAGTCAACATCCACCGAATTACTTCAAGTTAAGTCTTCAGATACGATGAAAGCATCCACTCTAGGAGCCGATATGTCAACAGAGGTCCAACCAATCAATGAGGAAATCCAAATTCAACTAAATAATTAACTTATTTTAATTTTTATATCGAAAAAAGTGATATTCGGACTTCACAGTACTAGTGTTCCATAGTCGTATAAAACATCTGCTCTGTTTGTGTTGAAAATTTCGCTGATTGTTCATCTTTTGTTCTTTCGTTTGTTTGTTTGTTACTGGGTGATGAATTTATGTTTAACAGCTGCATTAAAAATGTTTTTTTATTGTTTCTTTTAAAGATGAATGGGATTATTATTTTTTTTGGTTCAGTATGCCACCGTGTGTAAATTTTCCCTTTTAGTTACTGTTTTGTCTGGAAAAATTAATAATTTCATTCTCCAGATATCGTGACCTGCACAATGCAACTTGCTAAAATCACTTATAAACATGCACTGTTAATGATAACTAACACGAATTTAAAACGTTTGCCACTCAAAATTTCAACCTTCTCTTTGTGTAGGATCTTCAGCTTAGAAAGTAATCGATATTATATCATATGAAGTAAGATATAATCTCCTGTCTTAATATTTCCCTTCATTTCCTACGGTACACGAACAACCAGCAGGTTGGTACCTAATGAAAGATGTACGTCAGTGCATGACTCTGTTGTACCAAGACGTAATTGGATGGTTGCAGTTATGAGAAATCGCGAAAAACTGGTACTCAACACAAATGATATCAGGATGTTAATCAAAGGATGCGTGTACTGCACTTTCATTTGTCCTTCTAATACAGGTCAGACACAGCCATTCGAAGTGGAGGAGCTAAAGAGGCTAGTTGTCTTTAGCCACAGATGTTTGCATCCTGCCTCTCCTGTTGAGGGGTTTAATATAATGAATACTATTGAGGCTAGATGTACAGTTTTAGTTAAGGAGGGAAAGTCACTTGATGAGGTTGTGAATTCCATATTTGTACCAAACTACTATTTGGAATAAAGCCATTATTATTAATACGTCGGTTAAGATGGGTGGGACACGTGTTGCGCATATCGAGGCGTTGCCTTCCTCAACCAGGAGTGTTAGCTCACATCGGATTACATTGGAAAGTCTGTATGTCTGTCTGTTTTCGACATAGAACTTTGCACAAATGTGCGGAAGTTCAAGTCGCCACACTCCGTGTAGCACGCGAAGCAAGAGAAGAAAGTACAAGAAAAGCATAATAGAGACAGTAAACAGACGTGTGAGACAAAGGAGTAATAAAGAAATACAAAACAGTTTCATTGGAGATCATAAGTCACAGGGAGTGGATGCATCTGCGCCACTGAGAACGATTTTGAGCCATGTCACCAATTGTTTCCAACCATAGATTTTTACCGTCCCGAGGACCCCAGCCTGGAAGTCTACACCTTCCTACGTGGCTTAGACCAACTGTTGTGGATTTCATTGACTGGTGCCAAGTTTTTGTTTGACCGCCGCTAGCTTTTTTCCAGCCTGACCCTATATCCGCTAACATTGCTCGTCGAGGGAGGCGATGGCTTGGCATACGTAACACATGTCCTAACCATCTCAGTCTTTGTAACTTCACGAATTCGTCGATTGATTTCCCCTGTTTACCTAGAACTCGACGCCTAACCTCAATGTTGCTCACCTTATTATGCCACTTTACACGGGAAATAGAGCGCAGGCACCTATGATCAAAGACAGCTAGTCTTTTCATGTCTTCCACTCTCAGTGGCCAGGTCTCACAACCCATAAAGGAGGACGGAGCGGACTGATGAGCAGTACACCCGCCCTTTGGTCGATAGTCGAACATCTCGTCTACGCCAGAGTCGGCGTAAACTGGCAAATGCGAAACGAGCCCCCTGTATTCGTGCTGAGATTTCGTCAGAGATCAACCCGTTGGCACTGGCTGATGGTACTTCCCAAATAAGTGAAGCGGTCAACGTGCTCTACCACTTCACTTCCTATTTTTAAACTAGGCGTCGATGTAGTCCAGTCCTGTAACATCATCTTGCATTTGGCGGGAGCGAATCGCATGCCAAACATTCGTAGATTGCAGCTCAAGGTGTTTAGAAGACTCTGCATTTCGTCAGCGTCTTCGCCTAGAAGGACTATATCGTCTGCATATTCCAAGTCAACGAGATTATTCCCTGGTAGCAAGTCAATCCCTGAGTCGCTGAAGTCACTTAGGGTTAAGTCCATTAACACATCTATGATGAAGTTGAATAGAAAAGGAGATAATGGGCATCCTTGACGGACACCACTGGTCGTCATCAGTTCAGATGACAGCTCGCCGTAAGCCCTCACCTGGCTGTATGAGTACGAGTAGAGTGCCTTAATCAGTGCAATATATTTTCTCGGAATTCCCTTTACAGCCAAGCATCTCCAGAGAACTTCCCGATCGACAGAGTCGAATGCTGCCTTTAGGTCAAGAAATATAATGACTGTTGGACGCCGGTAGGAATGCCTATGTTCTAGAATCTGTCGGAGGGTGAAGATATGATCAATACACCCTCTTCCTGGTCTAAAGCCTGCCTGGCTCTCTCGTGTTTGTGCTTCCCGAGCACCACTCAGTCTACGCATGATTATTGAGCCTAAGACTTTAGATACTATATTAGTCAAGCTAATCCCTCTGTGATTATCACAGGAAGACTTGTCTCCCTTCTTGTATATGGGGATAATCAGTGACTTACACCAACCCGATGGGACTTCTTCTGATTCCCAGACGCTGCCTAGTACCTCAGTTAATCCGGACAGTAAGCTGTCTCCACCGTACTTAAATACCTCTGGAGTCATTCCATCAGGTCCCGCTGCTTTGCCTAGTTTCAGATTGGTGACAGCTTTAGTAACCTCAGTTAGTGACGGAGGACCTGTGTCTATATCCCATTCAGGGAGGTGTTGGATGCTCGGAAGGTTGAGCGTGGCTGTGGGCAAATTAAACTGCTCCTCATAATGCTCTTTCCAACGATCCAGTCGTCTATCCTGGGAGCTAATTATAGTGCCATTTTTTTCCGAGATTGTCTCACTAATGATTTGTCTTCTCCCACCCGTTTCCCTGATGAGTCCAAAGAGTTGCCTGGTGTTGCCTATCCTCGAAGCTTTCTCCATCTCTTTGGCTTTTGTCGCCCACCACTGTTCACGGTCCTTGCGGAGACTTTTCGTAAGTTTCCTCTTGTGCAGCTTTCGCTCCTCATTGAATTCGGAGCTCGCCGGAATAAGTCTTCTAGCATCTATCAGTTCGGATGAGGCGGTGGAGATCCAGTGGTTTTTACTCACCTTTGGGTTTACCTTATTCACAGCTTTTACAGCTGTATCTATGGCTGCCTGGATATTTTTCCAAGCTTCTTCAGGGTGAGCACAGCTGTCGAACACAGATATGTGTTTAGCTAGTTCTTCCTCAAATACGGATTTAGTTTCCTGATCGAGCTGGGGACGTGATGGTTTTACCGCCAGCTGTTTCCTACGTCCGTTCAGTCGTAAGCACACCCGAGCGCGGACCAGTGCATGGTCGGTATCTACGCACGTGTTCCAGAAGGAGCGACAATCTCCTACCGACCCACGCCAACGATAGCTTATTGCTATGTGGTCTATTTGTGTCCAGCGTTGGTTTGATGAAGGGGGTCTCCAAGTCAAACAGTGTCTCTCCTTGTGTTTGAAGTTAGTGCTTACAAGAAACAAATGATTATCAGAGCAGAACTGTAGGAGACGGTCACCGTTGTCGGTTCGCTGGCACGGAACTCCATAGGTGCCACCGACATCCTTCTCAGATTGACACAATTTCCCTACTTGAGCGTTAAAGTCACCAGCTAGAACGACTATGTCTGAGCGTTTAGCCTTTCCACCAAACTAGACAGCTTTTGGTAGAACTCATCCTTCGTTTCATCTGAACTGCAGTCAGTGGGGGCGTAGGCGGAGATTACGAAAAGGCATCGGCGAGTAGTGCAGTCCTTCCTCCTTCTTACTGATCCGTTCAGGCGGACAGCACACATTCGGCTATCTACCGGGATCCAGTCAAGCAATGTCTTTTCTGCCCTAGTACTCAAAGCTATCCCTACGCCAGCTAATCCTCGTGAACTAGCTGTGGCATCTCCTGACACCCTCAAGGTGAATTTTGCAGATTCAACCTGTTGGCCAGGTGGGGTTAGGTGAATAACCACACTTGGGTCTTGTATGCGTGTTTCTGAAACACAGCATACATCAATGGCTCGTGATGCCAGGGTCTTGGCTAGTGATGCTTGTTGTCCTATTTGGCAAAGTGTCCTAACATTAAGAGCTCCTATATGAAATTGGTGGCGCGGCTTTAAGAGGCTGTCGGTGGTGGTTTTTTGGCTTCCATCGTTTTTAGTGGACGCAGAGTGGAGAGGAAGTGGAGAGCTATCAAGTCGAGGAGTTGCATCAGTGGAAGGAAGGCAAGATGATAGAGATGAAGATGAAGACAAAGATGAGTGAGTAATAGAGAGGTTTCGTGTGCATTTCGGATTGTGAGGGCGATTGTTACTTCCCGGCTGCCCACACCGTGGAAGTTGGTTGCGTGACCGCAGAGCCCAGGGGACAACTGCTTGGGGCCGGTCACACGCGGCCTGCTTTTGTTTTTACTTAAGCTCTTATAAACTTTGAAATATTTTTTAAACCAGGACAAAAGTTGCAACCAGAGCTTCAAACTAAATCACTTGAAACATTTAGCCAGAATCAAAGAATATGATACTGTATAATCACCCAGTTCGGATATAACAGCTTTCTATATATATATATATATATAGAGAGAGAGAGAGAGAGACAGACAGACAGACAGACAAACTCGGGAACATAGGTATATTTACTGGCGTCCAACAATCGTCATATTTCTTCACCTGAAAACGGAATTCGACTCTGTCTACTGATAGGTACTATGGCGATGTTTGTCTGTTAAGGTAATGTCATAAGAAATACATCGCACTGATCGAGCCTTTCTACTCAAACTCATGCAGCCAGGCAGATGAGAGCATTTGGAGGGAGAGTTGTGATCTGAAGTGGTGACAACCAGTGGTGACCGTTATCGATGCCCACTGTCCCCATTTCTGCTTAGTTTCATCACAGATGTACTAATGGACTTAACCCTGACTGACTTCAGTGACTCAGGGATAGACGACTTGTTACCAGGGTGTAATACTCCCGTTGACTTAGAATGTACAGATGATATAGTCTTCCCTCCTATCTGAAGACGCTGACAAAATACAGCAGAGTCTTCTGAACACCTCGATTGATCAGCATGTTTCGAATGTTTGGCATGTGATTCGCTCCTGTCAAATGTAAGATGACGATTTACGACTGGACTAGATTGACTCCTATCTTAGAGATAGACAAGAGTGAAGTGGTAGAGCGTGTTGACCACTTCACTTATTTTGGAAGTTGCATCAGCCAACGTCAACGGGTTGATCTCTGACGAGCGCTCAGCACGGATATAGAAGGTTGGTTTGGCATATACCACTTTACGCCATCTGTGGTGCAAACGTGATATCCGGCTGTCGACCAGAGGACATGTGTACTGGCTCAGCAGTAGGCTCCGTCCTTCTTTATGACTGTGAGACATGGTCACTGAGAGTAGAAGCCATGAAAACGTTAGCTTTTTTGACCACAGATGTTAGCGTTTTATCTCTCTTGTTAAATGGTGAAATGTGGTGAATAATATTTAGGTCAATTGCGAAGTGTTAGGTAAGGCAGTTGTGAAGCTGCATCACTTGAGATGACTTAGACACGTTACGCACATTTGGAGACACTGCTTTCTTCGATGGAAAATGTTAGATGACTTAGGACTGGAAAAGTTAGGGTTGACCACACCAAGACGTGGCGGAAATCCATCAACTTTTTGATAGTCGGTCCTAACGAGACAGGTAAAGAGGTAAAGGCTAGGTGGTTGGGGTCATCAGGATGCGAAAAACCAATGGCTATAGCCTATTTTAATATCAATTAGTCAGTGGAATAATTAAGAAATGTGTTACGTATGCCAAGCCATCGCCTCCCTCGACGAGCAATGTTAGCGGATATAGGGTCAGGCTGGAGAGGAGCTAGCGGCGGTCAAACAAAAACTTGGCACCAGTCAATGAAATCCACAACAGTTGGTCTAAGCCACGTAGGAAGACTGATATGCAGACAGAATATTCTTGTAGTGTATCAAATATTATTATTATTATTTATTGATTTTTTCTTTCAGTTTCAAACGAAAATTACATTGTTTCATTGTATTTTCATTTCAACTGGTGTCTTTATAACTGAACTTATTGTATTATGATGTATTATCTTTTTAAAAAATTTAATTTCTATAAATATATAAATAGTATAAAAGAAAAGGCACCTCCAGCGAAGAGTTACTCCTCATTTCGACGATATCATTGTCAAGCTGTACAATCGCATTTTTTTTCCCTTCACGTTTCCCAAGCTTTTGTAGCATTGGTGGTTATTTTTACAGGATGGGGTTGCTAGCCTCATGCCTAACCATTCCTCTTTACCAGAATTATTTCTGGCTTAGCGAGGTAAAGGAGTGCGTTGGTGGCCAGAGATCGAACCCCGGACCGTGTGCATGGTCGGCGAGCGTCCTAACCACTGTGCCACCGACGCAAGTACAATCGTATATATATAGTTAATTCTCTTATAAACAAGAGGAATATTTCAAAGATTTGTCATTAGAATTGAAAGCTTTAGATAAAAAAAATTTCGTTAATTAGTTAGAAACTAAAGTAAGATTAAGCGAGTAAGCTGAGTGACTTAATCTAGCTGACGGGGTTGACTAAAGCTCAGTGCTAAAATTAAAACTGGACAAAAGTCAAGTTAACGACAGTGATAATAAGGAGTAGAGATTTAATAAGAGGTGGGAGGAAGAAAATATTATACAATTAAGAAATAAAGAAGCAAGAAAAAGACGAAAGAAAAATTATGTATTTGGCGTTAATATAGGTAAGGTCCAGTGTAGATTTAATGTGACTGAACAAACTTCCCCTTTTGTATGCAGATTTCAAGTTTTAATATGTTTCTGCGGTTTGAAGAAGTTTTATTCATCCTCTTTTAGTCAGATTTCCACGAATACTACTGGTGACTTTGAAGTCCTTGGTGAGTTTAGCTTGGTTTCCAGATTCGATCACGTGTTCCAGGATAGAGCTGTGGGGGTGGGGATCTTTTTTGCCTTTATAGAGCCATGAGGTTAAGTGTTTGATGATATCTTTTGACAGGAAAACGAAACGCTAGGTACGGCTTACATACCTAGCTCCAGATTAGCTATCTCTGACCGTAGGTGCCTGCGTTCTATCTCCCGTGTGAAGTGGTATAATAAGGTGAGCAATATTGAGGTTAGGCTTCGGTCGAGTGCTAGGTAAGGAAGGGAAATCAATAGACGAGGCTGTGAAATTACATTGACTGACATGGTTAGGACACGTGTTACGCATGCCTAGCCTAGTCATAGCCTTCCTCGACAGGCAATGTTAGCTGATATAGGGTCAGGCTGGAAAAGAGCTAGCGGCGGTCAAACCAGAACAGGGCTTCATCAGTCAATGAAACCCACAAGTAGGAAGATGTGAATTTCTCGGCTGGTTTGGGTCCATGAGATGGAACAAACCGATGGCTGGAGAAAATCGGTGATAGGGCTCAAAATCGTTGTCAATGGTTGGCGTAGATGCATCCACTCCTTGTAGCTTATAATACCCAATGAAACTAGATTATTCTTCGTTATAACCATTCCTTTGTCTCACACCTCTGTTTACTGTCTATATTATGCATTTCTTTTACTTCCTTCTCTTGCTTTGTGTGCCACATGGTGTGTGGCGACTTGAACTGACGCAAATCGGTTCAAAGTTCTATGTCGGAAACAAACAGATATATAAGACTCACTGGCTGAAAGCTGAATGCATAATTCAATCAATAATCCACATCTCCATTAAAATAACGGGGCTAAAATCCTTTTCTTTGATTATATGCCTGATGATTCCAAATTTCACTACGAATAAAGTCATGAAAACATCTGTCACAGAATCAATAAGTGAAAAGGAATTACCCTGGATCTTCATGAAGCCATGTTGTACGTGGAAGGACAACAATATCGGATTGTGTATTTGAGCATAAATCAACGCCTCCAACACTGCTTAAAATATTATTATTATATGCACCTGATCTACTGGTAGAATTAGTTGGATAATTTGTTAGCAGTGAACAATCAGTCGACTGAAGTCTATTTGATATTGTCATTTTTGTATTGGTAGTTTGCTGAAGATTTGACTCATTATGACAAGATGATGATGTTGATGATGACGATGAAGCTGACGGTTCACGTGATGAAGTACACTGAGCACTAGATGAACGTGTATTAGTACCACGTGGATGCCAGTGGGATACATTATATGATGATGTATTTGAACGTTTAACTTTATCATTGGTTGTATTACTGTTAACAGAATTGTTATTGTTATTATTGGCGGCATTATTATGTGATGTGTTAGCACTCAGACTAGAATATGCTTGAATAATATCGCTAGAGGATGACTGTGATTTTTGTGTATGACATTTTTGTGCAGCTTTAAGAACAGAATCAACTAATTGTTGTGTAGAATTATTCATACCTAATATTGTCATATGAAATGAACCAACTGGTGTTGAACTCGGTTGAGTACTGATAATACCACGAAAGCGTGTCACTGCCCATGTACGCACATGATGAAATTCATTGCAAACTTCAAGAAATGAAAGTAAAATAATAATAATAAAATATGGATTAGATGAACATTTTAAACTTTTGCAGATATTAATTGATAAATAACTTTATAACGCTGTACTCCTTTATCCTGAAGAGTAATTAAAGTGCTGTCCTTTTTGGAAATCATTTCACTTACAATTTGCTTCTTACAACCTGTTTTCCAAATGAGTGTAAATAGTTATCGTATGTTACCTAGCTCTAGTGCTTTGTCATCCTCTTTGGCTACTGTCCCCTACCACTGCTCACAGGTGCTGAGAAGACACATTTATTCGTCTGACATTTTATCAGTCTTTCCTCCTCTTCGTCTTCAGAATCCACCGGAAGCGATAGAAATCCAGTGACATTCGTTAGCCTTTGAATGCAAGTTATGAAAGAGGCTTTGCTACTATTTCAACAGTCGAATGTATGGAGATGGCAGACTTTCTTAGGATGCGTAATTGTGTTATACTCAGATGGGCACTTAGTTTGCGCGGATGTTTCAGAAGGAGTTGCAATCTTAAATCGACCTTCCCTGTATATAATAACGTATGACCAGATAGGACATACAGTACCATTTTCTGAACTGTATAGCTAACAATTTCAAATTTGTAAGATTGTAACTGTATCGCTATGATTTTAAAAACTTTAAATCATTAATTATAGGATATTGGTGAAATAGTCCTAAATAGTCATGGATTTTTCGCCAACTGTTTTAGCGTACAGGAACATGAGATGATACAGACTCCTGTCTAACCATCATCTATGATATTCAGCCTATCATTAAAGGCAGAAGTTAAAAAAAAACAAAAATCATCAACTGAATCTTTGAATAAGAAGTCGTCAGTTCAATAAATTGTTTCTACTCAATTTATGCCATATGTGTTAAACACAGTTAAACATAATAAATCAATATTCTACTATGTATGTGACTATTAAACCAAACTCGTAATAAACACATGGTACATCAGATGGTTTTTTTTAAGTAATTTGACTACCTCTCAACTTATTTATTGATATCGAGTAATGGATAACTTTACAGAACGTGACTTTCAGCCAATGATACTAGTAACGAGTGGTTGAATACTACTCACATCAATCAACCAATAATGCCTCCTAGTCAGTGATTGATTTACACATAGTAAGGCCATTTCATTTCGTTTGAGACTGAATTCACCAGCGATGTATCAAGTTTGCTTCAGCCCAGAGAGTCGATTTAGTCGATTCAAACCACCCACATTATTCTGGCTGACTACTACTACTTGAGAGAACCAGCAATGACCAAACTGGAGTTGTAATTTGAAAAGTATGCAGTTCGAATTGAAACTTCACCATAGTCTGCTTTGAAAACTGAAATTATCCAGATGCCAAAATGTGTGATCTGCTTGATACCATAAACGGGAATCATGAAAGTAAGCAAAAATGTATGGCACTATATACTACTCATTCAGTGATATGAGTAGCTAGCTGGACACCACTTATATCAACTAGTAGTGCCTCTTAGACAGATAGAAGTGTGCTAAACACCAAATGAATGTTTCGCTCATTCAGGGTGATACTATTTAGTTGTAATTTGTCAACAGTAAGCTAAGAGATACAAATGCCCATTCAATCTATTGTGTGCGTCGGTGGCATAGTGGTTAGGACTCTCACCTACCATGCACATGGTTCAAGGTTCGATCCCCTGCCAACGGACACCTGATATCTATGGTCGGCCTGAAAAATTTTGGCTACCAATATCCATGCTGAAAATTCCATACTTGTACCAAAATTACAGTGTGGAATCAAGCTGTAATCAAAAATAAATAAATATTTTATGTAAGGTATTTAAGATAACATTTCGAGACAGATCAATGCTGACAGACATCACTCCAAACTAAGAACTGATCGTTATAATTCTGATAATGATAACTGTTGACACTGATGAACAGTTTGAAGTTTACTATAATAAACGGATAATCGAATGCTTAGAGACTTCCATTAATTACAAACAAGAGACTGTTAACCCTACAGTTATTGAAACAGTTTCAAACAGTGTTTCAAGGTTAATAAAAAGGTTGACATATTGTAATGGCAGAAGACAAGGGTTAGGCAACAGATCCTTTATTGAGAAGATCAAGAGATATTTATAGATTTCTATGTACATTATTGTCAACTGAGAAGCAAAGTCTTCTAAATGGTTGTTTTCTTGCTCAAGGTTATTCTGTCATTTTTCAGAAAGTCAAGCCATATATCTGCGATTCATATTTTCCCACGTTAAGTTTGCTGTGATTGGTTGGTGAGTTCTTCAAGGTTAAGCTTTGTTCTTATTTTTTTCTCAGGATGCCGATTCGGGACGTAAACATTGACGTAAATTGTTGTCTACAATTTCGGCATGCAGACAGCCCCCACAACAATATCACTTTAAGACTGAATGGTATAGCTAAATTCACTGACAATTAGGAAGAATAGAATCTGTCCAGCAGTGCATCTTCATTTCATCCTGTTCTCTCTTGTAGTCCACGACTGCCCATTAACTTTCGTTTCCTCTCCACACGATCTTGTCGACATTACCCTTGGAACGTCAACGTGCCGCTTCCCATTCAGGTTCCGCCCAAGGGCCTGTTGCACGATATCAATCAATAGTCTTCTCAGAGTATATTCAATCTATCCCAGTTTCCTTCTGCATATTTTTTGGGCAATATATTTCTTTGGTTGGTTCTTTCCCAGAGTTCCTTGGTGCTTATCTTTTCTGTTTGGTCATCTGATCTTCAGTATTGGGAGGAGGTAGGAGTTGATGACAACAGGACTGTTGCCACCTGTTGGACTATTGTTGAAATTATCAACTTTAATCGAACTGAAATGTTCGACCTATTTTGATATGTTTGCTCCGACCAAAATGGAAGCATTGACAGTGCCTTAAGATTGACATAATTTGATTTGGTTGGTGACAGTTAACAACTGAATCTGCAACATGCATTTTGTCCCGTCGGGGACTCATCATCTAGATGCACTTGCATCTCTTTTTTCATTAATTGCTTTCCCCAAAAGCTGATAGGCTAACAGAAATCGAGTATTTCAATACAATCAAACCAAACGATAAGAAACCGGAAATAACGATTTCAAATAACGATAGTGGCGTATAACACTTAGGCGTTTGAAACAATGGGTGCTGGATTCGCGTATCAGTGAGAACACCACTACACACTGGGGATGCAGATACCATTGATTAACAAGTCGTAAATAGAAAGAAAGGTGTGTCCTGGATTCGAATGCTGGCGACAACTGACTAAACAACTGAACTATTATTATTATTATATTTTAAGTAATTATAATGGTTGGACTAATTCTTCGGAGTCACTAATCTACTCCGGTCAACCTGGTGATAACCACTCTGGGTCAGTGGTTATCATAATGCCACTAACAGTATAGAATGTTCTTAAGCAGTGTGAACCAATATCCTTCAAGATAATGAAGGCAAATTCCATCTAACTGAAAAAGAAGGAAAATTACAATACCATACTCTCATAAACAATGCAGACCAACAGCAGAAGGACACATTCTAACACACAACTGCAGACAGTGTGGAAATCTACTGCACTCAAAGAAAACGACTCGAATTTGCAACTATAATGTCAAGTCAATCAACGCTTCTATATAGTTCAGAGAATTGACGCGTCAGTGAAGACATTTCCAATAGACTGTAGACGTTTTTATCAGCAGCTGCCTTCGCTAAAGATCAAGGGACGTGTGTACTGCTCATCAGTTCGCTCCGTCCTTCTCTATGGCTCTGAAACATGGCCAATACGCGTTGAAGACATGAAAAGGTTGACGGCTTTCGATCATAGATGTCTGCGATCTCTTTCTCATGTTAGGTGGTTTCACAAGGTAAGTAATGTTGACGTTAGGCGTAGAGTGTTGGGCAAAGAGGGAAAATCAATCGACGAGGCTATAAAGTTACATAGACTAAGATGGCTAGGTCACGTGCTGCGCATGCCTAACCACCGCCTCCCCCGACGGGCATTGCTAGCTGATATAGGTGAAGGTTGGAAAAGAGCCAGTGGTGGCCAAACAAAAACATGGTATCAATCCATGAAATCCTTGACAGTTGAACTGAGTCAGGTAGGGAGGGAGATGCGGACTTCCGGGTTGGGGCCCTCGGGACTCTAGGAATCAATGGCTGAAGACAATGGAGACATGGCTCAAAATCGTTGTCAATGGCCAGCGCAGATGTATTCAGTCTCTGTAATCTTTCATATTCCTTTCTACCATTACCCATTCTGTTTCACTCTTATACTTGTTAAACTCTATTGATTCTCTTCACTCATCTTCTTGCCTACCTTTGTGTGTGCTATTTGGAAGGTGGCAACTCGAACTGGTGCACTTCGGTGCCAAGTTCTATGTTGAATCCAGACAGACAGACAGACTAAAGATCAAATGATCAGATGAGATTAACAACAAAGGACCTTTGGAAACCAACCAATCAACTAAGAGTCTGTCACCCTAAAAAAATTTGCAGAAGGAAAATAGAGATGGATTGAACACACGATGAGTGACATCAAGTGCTAGTCAAACCCTCTTCAAGTGGAACCCGAGGTAGAAGCGATGAATCGGGAGTAAGTCCGACAGGGACATGAAGGCGACCGTATGATGAGGTGGCGAGAGCATATGATCAATTGAGGAGTTAGCTAAAGAGGACTGCAGAGAACAGGATGAAATGAAGGTGTGTTGCTGAATTTCTATATTCCATTTGGGACGCAAGGGAATAGTTATAATAATAATCAAAGTCAAGTAAAATAAAAATCCTGGATAATTCTTAAAACAAAAGTAATACAAAAAATAAATATATATACCTGAAATTAAATATTTCTCTGATAAAACAACATCAGTAACCATTGACCGATGAACATTAAAAGTTTGAAATAATTGTGGACTATAACCAACAATTTCTGGATGTTGTACTATTAAGCATACACGACCAGACAATGTACCATAGGCTATTTCCATCCAATTACGACCTGAATAAGCTGAAATTAAAAAAAACAAACACGAAATATGAATAAAATGAAAGCATATTTATGAAATAAAAAAAAAACAATCATGATAATTCTCATAATCGAACTCCTACAGTAAACATGACATCAGTTAACAGGACGTAAAACAACAAGTGAGCATTTGACAGCACCAAGGATTACTCTCTTTCTATTTCTCTGTCTGTCGCAGTATTTGCACTCATATATATATATATATATATATATATATATATATATACGCAGGGGTTAGTAAATCACGAATGTAAGGTGTTGACTCATAAAGGATAAATACATGATTAATGACTGCTCATTACAAAATAAAAACATATTTCAGTCAAAATAATACTTATAATCCTCATCGCATCAGTCTACAATTGACAAATGAGAAAAATCTGTCCTAAATCCCGACAGGATGAACCCTGAACCGGTCACAACTTCTCACTAGAACTCCAGGAAACTCCATCCTGTAGGCAGTCACTAGCTAGCCTCATCCGTCGTCAAACTTGAAAAACAAATCAATTCTTGAAAAATTAATCTGATGTTCGCTAGTGACTGGCTACAGAACGGAATTTCCTGGAGTTCTAGTGAAAAGTTGATATTGGCTGGTGTCAGTCGCGTTAAAATCACGAATTGGTAGAAGTTAAAATCCATGGGCTGGTCATTGAGTCAAGTTCCAGTGGCTGAATGGTCTATCAGCTTGCCTTATAACCTGAGCGTCCTGGGCTCGAAACCCCGGCGAGTGCGTACCTGCCGATGAGCCACAAACCAGGACAAAAGAGTTGTCTCCAGTAATCTGTGGTTTTCAATGGTTCTCTTAACTGATAAAAATCCATAGTCAAATTGGAAAAACAAATGTCCAGAAAGAAATGTAAAAAACTTACCTAATTTTACACACAAATTTCTCCTAGTGTATTTGTACGAAGCAATAAGAGTCCATAAAGCAGGCTGAAAAACGAATATCTCGTGAACTCTGTAGAAGCTATCGTAGTAGTAAACAGTTAAAACATCATTTATGTATTCTGAAAGAAGCTGTCTTTCTCTAACTTGGTAAACCGTTTTTTTTTAAACTCTTAATAGATTATTAATGGATGGTGATTAGCAGTGGAATGCAGGGTGCGCACTTTGTCCTATTCAGGACTCGTTATCTAGATGTACCTGCATTCCCTATAGTTTCAAACACCAAGCATTTTTATTGCTTTGCTCAAAACTTCTGTCAAATTTATTTTTGCATAACTACTACATGTACAGTTTTTTCTTTCCAGTCAGACAAATTTACCTCTTCACATACAGGAAGATACCGATCCACAGAAATGATCCTTCTATAATCTGTTTATACACATTACTGACGAGTGTCAACTAACACCAAATCTAGGTTCCTTCACCAATTATGACTGTTCAAACTTCACACACTGAGCATATCATCAAACAAAATTATTAACGTGACTAGATTAAAGATTCACCCAACTTCCGAATATATGTATATATATAACAAAAGAAAATGTTAAATCAGGAAATATTCCAGTCAAATTTACATTTTAAATGTTAACTATAGTTTACCTCCATTATTTACGCATATTTCTCCTCAAAAGTATTACATAACATATCACCATCCAAAATAAACTTTGCATCAAACTTCGACAACAAATTGAATGAATCACAAATACACAATATATGTATTAAGCAATAAATGCTAAATGTATTTAAACTGGATCAATCGATTTTCCCGCTTAATTTACTTACTCAAAAAATCAATAAATCAGTTTACACAATTCTATAAACATTTACAATATAAACGTTTTATTTACTTTCACAATTAAGAAGTTGAAGAAAATAAAACCTGGGAAACTTATCACTTGAACAATTTCTTCAATTTTGGAGACTTCAACTGTATCAATATTACTGTTATTATTCTCATATTATTTTCAAATTTTATTTCAATTCAATATATTTACAAAGTTTAAGAAGATTGACAAACAGTAAAACGAAAATAATCCGATTGAATATTAAAAAATTCTATGATTATTACTATTATTACTATTATAAATTAATCAAGTTAATAAAAATTCTATCAGGCTGAATCCTCATCAGAAACGCAGTATCGTGAAAACAAGTAATGGTTTGGCACTTGACGAATTTATTGAGTGCCTTATATCGAATAAGGAAAAAAGTAATAAAGCTGGTGTTCTACGCGAAAGTGATATGATCAGTTTGTGCCAGTTAACTAAGCATGTATTAATGAATCAACCAATTCTGTTAGAATTAGAAGGACCGCTTAAAGTATGCGGTGATGTACACGGACAATTTAGAGATTTACTAAGACTATTTGATTTATGCGGTTCACCTGAGACAACAAATTATTTATTTCTAGGCGATTATGTTGATCGAGGTAAACAAAGTTTAGAGACGATCAGTTTATTATTTGCTTATAAAGTGAAATATCCAACCACCTTTTTTCTACTTCGTGGTAATCATGAATGTCAAGCAATAACACGTATTTATGGATTTTTTGATGAATGTAAACGACGCTTCAATATTAAACTATGGAAGTGTTTTTTAGATGTTTTCAATTGTCTACCAATAGCTGCTGTTATAGAAAATCAAATATTCTGTTGTCATGGTGGTATATCACCGGAATTTTTAAAACAAGATGTTGTTAATTTAGAAGATTTAAAACAGAAAATACGATCAATTCCCCGACCATCTGATGTACCAGAAGATGGTATCGTTTGTGATTTATTATGGGCTGATCCATTGAATCCAGAATTACTAGATGGTGAAGCCGATGAAATACCACAAATATTTCAAGAGACTGGTTTCGCCCCGAATGAACGTGGTGTCTCTTATGTATTTAGTCCTGAAGTAGTCGACAGATTTCTTACACGATTCGGTCTTGATTTAATGGTAAGAGCACATCAAGTTGTAGAAGATGGTTATGAATTTTTCGCCAATCGTTCATTTGTTACTATCTTCTCTGCACCGAATTATTGTGGTGAATTTGACAATGCAGGTGGAATATTTTGTCTGAGTCGAAGTGTTAACTATAGACCGGCTACAAATGAAGAAGAGATTGATTTAGAGGGGAGTTTTCAGATCCTGTATCCAGAGACACGTAAACGTAGTGCAATAAAACGTCCATCTATAGGAAATCTACCTAAGCGCTGATGATGAGAGCATTGAAAGTTTCAAAAGGGTAATCTATTTCTGCTAAACAAGGATATACTACAATTCAGTATATACAATTATTTTGTGCAAGTAATATAGAAGAACTACGGGATGTTGGAGTTGTAAACTCTGTCTCCCAAAATACTCGTTTTCCCGTATTAAAAACCTCATTTATCCCAACGTTTTGTTTTCAGGAGGAGAATATGAAATACTAATTTCAGCGTTATGTCTCATTTTATGCATAGAAACCAGAAGAGTAAATTATATTGCTAAAATATCAGATGAAGAATGAACATTCAAATATAAGTTCCAAAATTTCATCTTTCCTATAAGATGTTTTGTAAACGAGAGGTTAATATGCTGACAACTGTTCATCATTTATGCTATCTCAACTCATTCAAACTTGACTAATTTGATTTTTATTTATTTATTTTCATTTATGAAAGCGATAACTTTGATATATATATGTATATTTTCCATGTACAACACACTTTATGTTAAGCAATATTGGTAAAATATTTGCTTTATGGAATCATACTACTGTGATCAAATAATAGTAGTTTAAAAACGCGATTGAAAACTTTGTACGAAATAGGATGAATTTAGCTAATATGTTACTAACATTATGAAATTCTGATGATGAATTTCGAGAGAAAATTTAAAAAACTAACATTAATGCGGTTCTGTTTCGAAATAAGAATCATAACTCTTTTCTCGGAGAATAAATAAATAATCTAACTCCATAGTCACCCCAAAGAATCGTGAAAGCATAACCTAATAGGGGCCGACACATCAACATTGACTAACTCGGTCCAGTATTACTGACCAATCGACGGAAAATTCAAGACAATTCTAGCGTATAACATTTGATATCTGTCTCTTGGAAGTTGGCCCAATGGATGGCACTTTTTTGTTTGTAATGATGTGGACTGGGTTCGAGGCTCAATCCTAACACCATCACATTGTGGGTTTATGCATATCTACTGAAGAGTCCTGATTGAGACGAAACGTGTGTCATGGGTCCTACAGCTAGCCGACAAAATACTACGTAATAAGGTCTTTAGCAGTCATTAGTGTTAACAAGTAAGTGAAGCATTCAATTGACTTGAAAATGAAACATGTAATTTTTGAACACGCATCAGTGGTTAGATGGTAGAATGCTTGCTAACCACGGAAATGGTCTAAGTTCTATGCCTCATCGACACCTGCAAAAACTGCACTTACTTTGCCAGCCATTACCAGTCCCGAAATAGAGGGGAGGTGGAGTGCGAGACTAGAAACCCTACTGCTATTCGAACCCCAGAACAATTTCTAAACTACTTATATCACTTGTGTCTCCCAAGGAAATATCACTTCCTTTAAGCTAACAGATACACCCAGACAACGAGTGCCAATAAGCAAGAAACCCAGGTTTCGCAAATCCCAAAAGTTGGCTTCAACCACCTGACATTACATTATCTTTCAAATAGAGGATTTCTACTACTAGATTAAAACTCAAAAAATCAGAAGTAATAAACCTTCATGCGCAAGGGTTATCCATGATTCATATGGACTTTATTGAGTTCCCATAAGCGTCGATAGTTCAATGGTAGAACGCAGATCAACTGCAGACGAGGCCCGGGGTTTGATCCCCGGAGTATGATCCCGGTTGGGTATGAGGCCAGAAAACTCACTCCGTTAAAAATAATCGCAGCTGATAGTGGAGTTTCAAAGCTCAAGCAAAGAAATAAAAACGGGGTTCTTATAATTGTTTTTTAACTCTAAATTTGTCTTTGTGATTTTGTGGGAAGATTGTATTCGTCCAACAGTTTCTTTCGGAAGATATCAAGTAA